AAAAAAAAAAAAACATTTTAAGTATTTTCTTCTTTATTTCAATTTTTTAAATTAAAATTAAAATTAAAATAAAAAAAAAAAAAAAAAAAAAAAATTACTATATTAACTGTTTTATTTGTTGTTTATCTTCTTTATACAAAGATTTAGAACATAATTTTGGTACTTTGGTCAAAGCAAACTATTCTTTAAAGATTAAATAAAGTTGCTTAACAACTATAGTAATAATATTAAATACATTATACATTTTTTATATCTCTTTAGATAAAACGTGTTTTCACAGTATTATTTATTGTACTTATTTTATTAATAAATCAAATATAAATTTCAATGTAAAATCAAATAAACTTATCATTTTTGTTTATCAATAAAGTATATTATTGTTTTATTAACTTTAGAAAGTAAATAATTTATATTTTATTAAATATAAAATTTAAAAAGCATGAAATCAATGTTTTTTATACTTTAAAAATGCGAGAAGTGAAAAAATTTTTTTAAGGTAATGTTACGAAAAAAAGCAAATGAGGCTGATGTGCCACAATATCATATAGGGTAAAAAGTGATGGGTGAATCATTATATAATTGGATAAATTTTTTTATAAACATAGATGTTTAAATATCTGTCAAAATCTGTTAAAATATTTTAAACTTTAGATTGTTTTTGACATTAGGAAATATAGCTTTGCCAGACAACTATATATCAACTGAACTCTGTCTAAAATAATTTATCAATATCAATTAGAAAATAGATAGAAGCAACTGAAGTTGTTTTCAAAAGTCTAGTATTGATGATATAAAAATAATAGTAACAAATTGTATAAATATATAAATATTTTCTACACAATAACTGATAATAATTCAGCAAATAAAGAATAAATAACAGAATTAATTAATCTTAAATCATACAATCCAAACCCTCAGACTTTTCTTGAATTGGATCTTGAACTAAAATTCCAGTAAATTTACGACTTGCACAATATGCTTGTGAATGAGATTGTATAATAGAAGCATTTGCTTGTTTTTGTACTAAAGCTTCATTTGCCTTTATAAATTCAAACATATCATTTCTTAATTGATTATCAATATTAGGTACACCAAATTTATTATTTCCATCCCTGTTACTATTTATTCTATAATAATAACTAATACATTCAATCCATTCGGATATAATATTCTCAAGCATTATTATAGTTGGTCTATTGGCAGGATTTGAATCCCAACATTTTTTCATTAAATCTACATAACATTTTGGAGTATTTTCTATAATTTCAGGACGTTCCCCTTCACAAATATTTAAGATAAGGCGATCATTTACTTCATATTTAAATGGGGGAATACCTGATGTAAATTCCCACATTATTATTGAAAAACTATAAATATCACTTGCTAGAGTATAGGATTTTTTTCTTAATATTTCAGGTGCCATATAAGGTAAAACTCCATAAATTTCATTATCATCATTATCAGAATCTTGTAAATCACTTATAGGTTTACATAATCCTAAATCAATAATATATAATTCATTGGAATTATCTGACATTAAAATATTACCATCATGAAAGTCACCATGAGTTAAATTTGATTCATGAATAACTTTAAGACCTAATATAATTTTTTTCAATAATTGTAACTTGTCTTGCCACTTAAATTTAATTATATCAGGCAAACATTTTCTCAAACTTCCTTTTGTTGCATAACTCATTACTATTATATAATTTAAATTATTTGGATCTTGGGTAATTCCAAAGAACTGAATAAATTTTGAAAATGATTTTTTCTGGCAATTATAATGATACTTCAACTATATAAATGATAAAAAAATTATTAAACTTTTGCAAAAGAAAATAAAACTGACTATTAAATAAAAATACTACACCTCATCCAGAAATTTATCATCTGAACTTGATGAATTATTAAGTGTTTTAAGAATAACCTCATAAGTTGTTTGTCTATTCCATTGTTGGTTCTCATAATTCCAACTAAAAATAGGTCCATCTAACCAGATAGCTTTATGAATTGCACTAAATCCTCCTTTATCATAATAATTAATACTTGACAATTTATTATAAGGTATCCACTCTAAAATTTCGTAACTATTTTTAGCATACAATTGTGCTTCTTGAATAAATTTATCAACAAATTCATTTTGGCTGGTCCACTTTAAAAAATCTCGTTGAAATCGTATGGCATTACATAGTTTGCACCACAGGTAATCAGTATATGGTTGTTTGCATTTGTTACAAAATTCATTTTTATTTTCAAGACTAACATTGTCACTTTCTACTACTTTTTGATGCCAATAGAAAGCTTTTTCCAAATTCTTTTCTGTTTCTTTGCCATTTTCATAATATATGACTAAATTAAGCATTGCTTCTGCAACACCATTTTCTGCTGCTTTTTGGTACCAATAAAAGGCTTTTTTAAAATTCTTTTCTATTCCTTCTCCATTTTCATAACATATGGCTAAACTATTCATTGATTTAATATGATCTTTTTCTGCTGCTTTTTGATACCAATGAAAAGCTTTTTCTAAATTCTTTTCTGTTCCTTCTCCATTATAATACCTATTGGCTGAATCAAACATTGATTCTTCATCACCATTCTCTGCTGCTTTTTGATACCAATAAAAGGCTTTTTCTAAATTCTTTTCTGTTCCTTCTCCATTATAATACATAGTGGCTAAATTATTCATTGTAATTTCATATCCATTTTCTGCTACTTTTTGATACCAATAAAAGGCTTTTTCTAAATTCTTTTCTGTTCCTACTCCATTATAATACATATGAGCTAAATTAGACATTGCAGATTTATAACCATCTTCTGCTGCTTTTTGATACAAATAAAAGGCCTTTTCTAAATTCTTTTCTGTTCCTTCCCCATTAAGATAATATAAAGCTAAATTATTCATCATACTTTTATCACCATTTTCTAATGCTTCTTGACACCAATAAAAGGCATTTTCTGAATTCCTTTCTATTCCTTCCCCTTTATAATAATGTAAGGCTAAAGCACTCATTGCATTTTTATTACCATTTTTTGCTGCTATTTTATACCAATGAAAGGCTTTTTCTAAATTTTTTTCTGTTCCTATTCCATTATAATAACATATGGCTAATTCATACATTGCTTCATTATCACCATCATCTTTTTTTGATTTTTGATACCAATAAAAGGCTTTTTCTAAATCCTTTTCTGTTCCTTTCCCTTTACTATAATATATGGCTAAAATAACCTTTGCTTCATTATTACCATTTTCTGCTGCTTTTTGACACCAATAAAAAGCTTTTTCTAAATTCTTTTCAGTTCCTTCTCCATTTTCATAGCATATGGCTAAACTAAGCATTTCTTTTTCATAACCAATTTCTGCTCCTTTTTGATACCAATAAAAGGCTTTTCCTAAATTCTTCAATGTTCCTTTTCCATTATAATAACATGAGGCTAAATTATTCATTGCACTTTTATTACCATTTTCTACTGCTAATTGACAACAATAAAAGGCTTTTTCTAAATTCCTTTCTGTTCCTATTCCATTATGATAATGTATGGCTAAATTCAACATTGCTTGATTATCCCCATTTTCTGCTGCTCCTTTTTGATACCAATAAGAGGATTTTTCTATATTTTTTTCTGTTCCTTCTCCATTATAATAGCTAATGACTAAACGAAATATTGCTTTCTTATCACCATTTTCTGCTGCTTTTTGATACCAATAAAAGGCTTTTTCTAAATTCTTTTCTGTTCCTTGTCCATTTTCATGACATAAGGCTAACATATGCATTGCTTCTTCGTTACCATTTTCTGCTGCTTTTTGATACCAATAAAATGCTTTTTCTAAATTTTTTTCTGTTCCTTCTCCATTTTTATAACATATGGTTAAATTAAACATTGCCATTTCATCTCCATTTTCTGCTGCTTCTTGATAACAGTGTAAGGTTTTTTCTAAGTTCTTTTCTGTTCCTTCTCCATTTTTATAACATATGGCNTTCTTTTCTGTTCCTTCTCCATTTTTATAACATATGGCTAAATTAAACATTGCCTTTTCATCTCCATTTTCTGCAGCTTTTTGATACCAATAAAAGGCTTTTTCTAAATTTTTTTCTGTTCCTTCTCCATTATAATAACTACCAGCTAAATTATACATTGCTCTAATATGATCTTTTTCTGCAGCTTTTTGATACCAATAAAAGGCATTTTCTAAATTTATTTCAGTTTTTCTATACCTATAATATACGGCTAAATTAAACATTGCTTCTTTAATACCATTTTCTGCTGCTTTTTGATACCAATAAAAGGCATTTTCTAAATTCTTTTCTGTTCCTTCTCCATAATCATAATATTTGGCTAAATTAAACATTGCCTCCTTAACACCATTTTTTTCTGCTCTTTGACACCAATAAAAGGCTTTTTCTAAATTCTTTTCTGTTCCTTGTCCATTTCCGTAAGATATGGATAAATTAAACATTGCCTCCTTAACATCATTTTCTGCTGCTCTTTGAAACCAATGAAAAGCTTTTTCTAAGTTCCTTTCTGTTCCTTCTCCATTTGCATAACACAGGGCTAAATTACTCATTGCTTCAATATAATCTTCTTCTGCTGCTTTTTGATACCAATAAAAGGTTTTTTCTAAATTCTTTTCTGTTTCTTCTCCATTGTAATAACGTAAGGCTAAATTATGCATTGCTTCTTTAACACCATTTTCTGCTGCTTTTTGATACCAATAAAATGCTTTCTCTACATTCTTTTCTGTTCCTTCTCCATTATCATACTTATTGGCTAAATTATTCATTGCTTTTTTATCACCATTTTCTGCTAATTTTTCTAAAGAATTGATACATTCTTTGCACCATAATTTTTCGATAAAAGGTTTATTGCAATATAGACAATTTTTCGCTTCCACTGTATCAGTATCTTTATCCATTTTATACAGAAATGAAACAAAATATTATTTCTTTTTGGACTAATTTTTTTTATATATGCATGTATACGTTGCCGTCAGAATTCAAAAAGGATATGGGAGGCGTCAGTTAAAAGGAAGTAAGTCAGAATTTTGAGTAATTTATATTATTAAGCTTAATGACCATGATCAGCAAAGTGAACCTATAAAAAAAATTCTGTCCAAAAAATTTAGATTTCCCTTTTTAACTCCGTCCATATTACAACAATATTTAATAATCAAATAATTAAATGCATTGTTAGAATTGCCTTTTTTTGAATTCCGACGGCACGTAGAATGAAAATAGTATTTTAGCCAAAAGTAGAAGTTACAATAAAGCAATGCAGATTAATTTTTTCGGAACCATATTTTTTTCCACCAACTGATCTGCGTCAAACCATGATGTTGATAAAATAAGTTAGTCACTTTTTCCATAATTAAGAAAATGTCAATAACAGATAAACAAGTTTAATTTTTGAAAAAGTTATAATATTATAAGCATTTTTACCAACATTTTCACAATAAAATTGTTAAAAAAATGAGTATTTTCATAAATAAAACTTAATATATAGGTTCACAAAATTCATTATACTAATATAATTGAATTATTTCGCTTTGGATTTCATTTGAAAAATATGATAGTTACATTCAATAGTAATTTCTCTATTCTCAGAAATTTGACGATACATATAATAAATGATTATTATAAATTAAAAATTCTGAAATATATATAATAATATTAAAAAGATATTTTTTAGGGTATTATCTGAAAGCCCTTTACTCTTTACATAGAAAGATCAATGGAATATTAAAAAGTGAAAGAAAATTTTCTGGGCACATATGGCATCATTTGCTTATAATCAACGGATTTGTCCGAAGTGTAACATAATTCTACGCAAGGTGATATGCCGTCCAGCACATGATGATGTACAATATAAAACAGTATTAAGACCTAAAATAGCATTTCGGACTTGTCTCCTTTTTCAAATTAGTGCGCCCCCTAAATAACACCCCTAATTTGTGATTATCTGCAATTTTATTGTATCATTTATATATAGAAAAGGGCCGATTATGGAAGAAATTTTGAATTCAATAAAGTGCGTTACTATTTTTTTTTTTTTAAAAAAAAAAGAAGAAATTTTGAATTCTTAGAGTAGTTTCCTTGCTAAAAACGTTAGTGTTATACAAAATTTTAAAATTCGTTTATAATAAAATTACCCTAAGAATCAAGAAATTACTAAAATTTCTTCCAGAAATCGCTGATAATTAGCCTTTTCTATACAATGGTACAATAAAATTGCAGATAATCACAAATTGAGGTGTTATGTAAGGGTCGCATTAATTTGAAAAAGGCGATAATAACGATAATAACGGGTTTCCGTTTCCTAAATCATACTTTTTAGTAATTCGTATTTTAAAATTTTATTTCTAAAATAGTCTTTTCTTAATAGTTTGACTCTCAACCCGATATTATTAAAATTGTTTATTATTTAACTAGGTGTAACCCGTCGCGCTGCGCCGGGGATAAAACTTCTTAGTATTTTGATAATAAATATTTACAATATGGTAAGGTTAGACTAATAAATTTATATAATTTATATAATTTACATATTTAATTCTATTTCATAATTTTTAGGTCATTTAGTTCTTCCAGAAAGGTTCAGTTGTTTTTCACTTTACATTTCGTTTCTTACTCATTTTTTTATTTTTTATTTTGTTTCTGTTTCGTATTTCGTTTTTCACTAATTTAATTTATTTTTTTTCAGACATTTTAGTTCTTTCAGTTCTACAATTAATAAAGGTATTTTTTTATTTTTTTTTTATTTTTTTTTATTTCGGTTTTATCTTATATTTCATTTCTTACTAACTTCATTTTTTGTTTACTTTATGGTTTACTTTTTACTTTGTTTCCTCATGATCACTTTTTTATTTTTGTCTCTCATCATTTTTCACTTTATACTACTACTCATTGATAAATACACATGAAAATTTAATAAATTGGATGAATAATTTATATCAAAAGGAAATGATTGATATAATTTCTTATGATAACCTCATTTCCATTTCTCAATTAAGACTCAATAAATCATTGGTAGACAGTGATCTTGAAACATTTAAAGAAAAACAACCTGGAGTCGTTAATTTCAAAGAAAAGTTAAGTTTAAAAAAATGGGTTGAAGACGCTGTGAATGATAATTTAATTATTTGGACCAAGAATTTCGGCCTTTTTCAAGGATTAATAATAAATAACAATGACGAAATAGAAATTAGTAAGAAAATTCCCGTTAACATTATTAAAATTCCTGAAGCCAATTCTATTAATAAATCTTATTTGAAATTGATCAAGCCGTCAACAAAATTAGAATTTACTTTATTTTCCAACCATATTTTTTCAGAAAATTTAAGCACTTTTCCATTTATTAAGAATAACGATAAAACTTATAAGGGTTATAACCATGTATTAGTAAAATGTGAGAAGCGTGAAATTCTTTTAAATACAGATAGTATAAAGCCTACAAAAAAATTTGAAGGGATCCGTACAAAATCCCGAATGTCAAAATCCCGAATGGTACGAAATCCCGAAATATTGGCCAACATTAAGCATAATGCTGCCCGGTTCGGGATTTTCGGGATTTTGACATTCGGGATTTTGTACCAGACCCGAATTTGAACAATCTATGGAAAAAGCACTTAATGGTATGAAGCCATTGAAAGTTTTGCAAGACATATTTGATGAATATGGTCATTTATTTCCAAAAAGAATTGTATTAGGAAGGTACTTTAAAAATATTTTACAGGATCTCTCTTCACCTAATACATTTAACGATGTTAATGATTATAATAAAATACTTGAGACGTTAGATGATTTAAATATTTCATATCTATTAACTCAGAATGGAAGGATTATTGAAAAAAATGACTTACATGATTGGATTCAAAACAATGAAAATCTGGAAATTGTTGAATTTGATAATATTATCCCCCTTTATGAGATTCTTGGAATCGAGCAACAAAGAAGAATTGATGATATATTAAAAGATAATTACAGAATTATAATGACAGGAGTTACCGATTTAAAAGACTTAAATAATGATGATGATGATCACTACAAACGTATTGATTTTGAATTATCATTTGAAAGTGAAAATTATCAAGTATTTGGGTCGATATTTTCAAAAAATAAATCAATATTGAAAAGATCGGAAGAAATTTATGTTAATTTTGGACTGTATGATTTTAATGGATTTTATGCGATAATGAAAAAAATAAAAGAAACAAGCATCGATATAACAGAATGTTATGTTTCATGGGTTGTTATTGGAAAACCTTCTCAATTATCTGTTTTTAGTCCAAGTAATCGAGAATTACAAGTTGATTATATTAAAAAAACTATTAAATTGCAACCTGATAACGATAAGTTAAATTATACTTTCGATAGTTCCTTTACTTTACATGAGGAATACACTATTTTCGTGCATGCAAATGATTTGTCAATAAGCTATGAGCCTAATAATATTATTAAGATAGTTGAGTGGAATGAAAGATTTATTAACGTTCAAATTGAATCAGCTTATGAAACTGCAAACTCTGATCATGAAGATAATGATTGTTTAGAAAATGAAATAGATTTGCACATATGTATTCTGTCTACAAATTGCAGATATTTGAAAATTGATAACGCCAAAGAGGAATGTCCTTTAAATATAGTAGGATATATTTTAGACAAAGAAAATTTTAATAGAAGTTTATCGCAAGGTATTTTAATTAATTTTTATTTTCTTATCAATTTGTTTATCCGAAATTCGTAAAGAATTCGAAAGTAGCAATGTTATTGATCCACTTTTCACCAAAGAACTTCCAAATTCTTTATAAAATTGATTATTATGCCGATAATAAGATACTAAAAGAAAAAAAATTTTATATTTCTATCACTTTTAATATTTTCAAGTCACGAAAAGAAATTAAGAAATATTTTTTTTTTTTTTTATCATTATACTCTTCGTTAATTTTAAAATATGGAAAAAGAATCTCTAGGAGAACCGGTAAAAATTCGAACAAACTACTTTGAAGTTACTAAGATGCCGAAAATGAAAATTATACATTATGTTATAATGATAAAGCCCGAGGTTCCTCCGCGATTAAATAGAAAAATATTCAATCATTTTTCGGAGAAAAACCAAGAAGCCCTTGGGGGCGTAAGACCAGTATTTGATGGTATGTACTTTATTATAAAATTACATTTTTTTTGCTTTATTCAATATTTGGATATTTGTAAAGAAAAATATATTTTTTTATCTAGAGGATACTTACTAACTAATAGCAAATGTTTGTAGGAAAAACAAATATGTTTACACACAAGCCATTGCCATTTGAAAGCAATAGTTTTGACGTAAATTATCTTGAATTTTGTTTTTTATTTATTTTATTTTATTTTATTTTTTTTTTTTTTGACTTTTGAAAAATTATTAAGTTTAATTATTATAATTAGGTGAAATTAGAGAAAGGTAGCGAGCCCATATCTAGAATACGTTCATCTGAAACATTTAAAATTACAATAAGAAAAGCTAGAGATATTGACATGGAGGACCTATCCCAATTTTTACATGCAAAAGGCAAGATGACCAACAATTGCCAAATAGGTAAGTTTCTTTCTTTCTTAAATAAGAATGAATCTCATAATGGATTATAATCATATTTATGTAATAAGCAATAACGGCAATGGACACCATTATCAGTTACGAGATTTCTGCAAAATATCCTACTGTATGTAAATCATTTTACACTTCGCAGGGAGCTAGATCACTCTTTGGGGATATTGAGGCTTGGCAGGGGTATTACCAATCAGCACGTCCCACAATGGGCAAAATGATGATAAACATAGATGTAATTGCTACCGCTTTCTATGAGAGTGGTCCGCTTATTCAGATGATTGCAAAAATACTGGGTCTTAGATCTCCCAAAGATCTACGTGAAGGATTATCAGATAAAGACCGTCAAAATGTTGAGAAAAGAATAAAAAATCTTAAAATAAGTGATAATCATAGAGTGGAAAATAGGCGAAAATTTAAGATTATGAAATTAACTCAAACCCCAGCTTCTTACACTATGTTTGATGGAGTTGACGGTAGTAAGACTGATGTGAAAACCTATTTTCAAAATAAATACAATATACGTCTATTATATCCATTTCTTCCTTGCGTTGTCGTAAGTAAAAATAAATATCTTCCAATAGAAGTTTGTGACGTAATTCCGGTAAGTATATATTCATCTAGTGATATCATATGATTATAAGAAATTTTTTTTATTAAAAAAACTTTTTATTTCTTATAACAGGGACAACGATATATGGGGAAGGATACGAATCTAGCAAATGAAATGACAAACTTTGCTCGTCAAAATCCTAACATTCGTGCAGATAAGATCAAGGCTTGTCTCAATATATTAAATTATAAAGAAAACGAATACCTTAAACAATTCGGGATGGAAATATCAAACGATATGACCGTGGTAGGTTTGATATGTTATTATTGTATTATAGGAATATATTTTTAATGTGAGTTTACAGGTGAATGCTAGGATTCTCCCTACTCCAACAATTCAATACCATCAATCATCAAGGGAGAATCGTGTCCAGCCGAATGGTGGATCATGGAATTTACGAAATAAAAAAGTAATAAATGGTGCCACCCTCGGCTCATGGTCAGTTTTGGTCTTTTCAAATTCTAGTGATCAAGCTATTGAGTTTTTCGTGAGAGAATTAATTGTTACATGTCAAGATACGGGAATGGTAAGTTAAATGATATCAACCCTTTTTCGTATGAATCATTCAAGTTTCTAATCATTTATAATAGAATATCTTTGAGAGGAAACCTCCAATATGTCGTGAAAATCCTATAGGAAATACTGAAGAATCATTAAAAAAAGCTTGGTTGAGGGCTGGAAACAGTGCGAAGGCTAAACCACAGCTTATTCTTTGTATTCTCCCAAATACTGGATCACATTTATATGCCGAAATTAAACGTGTTAGTGACACAGTTATTGGTGTCGCAACACAGTGTGTCCAAAGTACACACACGATAAAACCAAAAAAACAATATTGTGCGAACGTCTGCCTAAAGATGAACGTTAAACTTGGAGGAGAGAATTCATTCCTCATTCCTGAACATATTCAATTTTTGGCAGATGAGCCTACTATTTTGATGGGCGCAGACGTTACTTATCCTTTGCCTGGTAAATTGTAATTTTTTTTCTTTTTTTCACATGAATTACTTTGATATATTTATGTTTCTTGCATCTTTTCAGGCGATATCAAATGTCTATCTTACGCTGCTCTATGTGGTTCTATGGACGCTAAGGCATCACGTTATGCAGCGTCAATTAGAGTTCAATCTGGCCGTACTGGAATAATAAAAGATTTAGCAAATATGGTTAAGGAATTGTTAAAAATATTTTATCAAACTTGTGGGAGAAAACCTAAAAAAATTTTATTTTACCGAAATGGAGTTTCAAAGAGTCAATTTATAAAGGTACTAGAGTGTGAGCTAACCGCGATTAAAGGTAATTGAAACATATTATTATTAGATTTATTCATGCTTTTCATTAATCTATTTAATTACTACAGACGCGTGTCAAAAGCTTGAGGCTAATTATAAACCCACTATCACGTTTGTTGTGGTACAAAAGAGACACCACACCCAATTCAAGGCGCTGATAGAACGGGAAATTGTTTTCCTGGTACTGTCGTTGATATGAATATTACACATCCACATCCACTTGAATTTGATTTTTGTAAGTAATTAAATTGTTACATTTACACATAAATTCTGTAACATTTCTAAATGACTAAATTCTTACCAGATTTATTAAGTCATGCCGGACTACATGGAACGTCTCGGCCAACCCATTATTATGTTTTATATGACCAAAACGGATTTGATGCAAATAAGCAAGTCAATTTAATCTAATTTAATTATTAATTGTTGTGTAACTAATATATAATTAATAATTTAGGTTACAAATGTTATCTTATAATCTTTGCCACACATCTGTGCGTTGTACGTGTGCAGTATCTTTGGTAAGATTTTATATTACGTTTTTTATCATTATAATATGCAGTAAATGATTTAAATATCGTATTATATTTAATTAGGTACCTCCGGTATATTACGCCCATTTAGCTGTTGCTAGGGCAAGACTTCACTAATTCCGTGATAAGGAGATCTCATTTGGAGTGGTAAAGAAAGAGCTGAGAAAGGTAAATTAAAGATTTTTCGAATGTAAATTTTTCTCAATTATCTCAGTTTTATAATAAACTCCTCCTTTTAGGTTATGTACTTTATATAAAACCATTGTTTTTCAAAAAATATTTTTTAAATTTTATATCTATCGATTTATTTCGGGTTAAAAGTATTTGCTTGCAAATTGTATTTAAACCAAAAAAAAAAATTCTTATATTTATATCGGAGATTTTTTTTTTTTTTTTGTGGTAAAACGAATTACTGTACTTGATTGATTATTTATATGATAAAGAACATACAAAAAAATAAAAATTTGAATATAATTTATATAATTTACATTCTCCTTCAATACCACGCCTTCATCATATCCAATGAAGAAGTAGTATTTTTCATGTACTACGTAAATTACCTATATATTGAAATGACAACCTTTTCCTAGAATCTAAATCGTTAATATCGTTACACTATCGTTACCAACTATATTATCAATTACATTATCTATTTTAATTTTTTTTCTTTCTTTTTCTGATGTCCACCACTCTGTTATCACCTACTATACTATTCAAGTCCATCATCTACATGATCGTCGTTCCTAACCCTTAACTCATTTCAAATTCAACTACATCACTACACCTCAGCAACCATAATCTTTTTTACTTCCGAATCAGTAAATATTTTGTTATTTTATTAGACCTCGATCGGAGTTAATTCTCTCATAATTAAATATCCATAATTTTAGATGGTGTCATGACAACCTCTTTCAATTTGTCCCTCACTAACGGTTGATCATCAATATTCCTTCGTTCCATATCTGCCACTTCGTACTTACGTTTTCGAGCATTCCCATATATGATTCCATGATTCGACGTCTGTATGACACCTCGCACATTTTCAGATTTAACGTAATCTCAAATACTCTTCTTTTATATAAACAAGTAAACATTTAACAAAACGGGAGCTTTTGACTAATAATTACAAAGTAAAATATATCATTTTTGTGGTTATCAATTTTTAATCGTTTATCTATTTTATTAATTAATTGATTTTATTTGAATCACATCATTGCTGACTAATTAAATCTAACATTCCGATCTAATATGTTACCAGTTCTTGGTAGTAACCAAATATATTTTAACGGTAATAGTCAGCACTTACTTTAAAAAAATTATATAATTAGTAAAAAATTAAACAGGTATTTTAAAATCAGTACTCATTGTAGTACTGCAGTAGTAAGAATAGTAAGAGCGTCATCTTAAAATGAAAAAAGAAATTGGCGCTTACTATTGTACTGAAGTGTATCTCCTGATCCTTGAATTCCTGATCAAAAAAAAATTTTTAAAAATGAAAAAAAAATTGAAAATTAGTATTTACCATAGTACTGCAATGGTAAGCATATCTCCCAATCCGTGAGTTCTAATCCTAAAGACAAAAATAAAAAATTAAAAAAAGAATATTAGTATAAAAATCAAATAAAAAAAAATATTATTTCAAAATGAAAGAAAAATTGAAGTTGGTGTTTACTATACATAGTACTGTGTGTCTCCTGATTTGTGAGTTTTCAATCTGAAAGGACGAAAAAATAAATTTTTTGAAAATAATAAAAAAAAATATCAATATTAGTAAAAATAAAAATAAAAATAAAAATAAACAGAAAAAAAAAATTTATCAAATTCATTATTTTCTTTCCAGATTCTTATAGGGATAGTTAATCTCATCCTAACATAATTTAATTTTATGGAATTACTAACTGAAATTGAAAGACAAAAATATAAATTATCTATTGATCTTTAATACTCATTTAAATTTTTTTTTTTTACTCTTTAGACGAAATAAATTAATCGCTTACTCTTGATTATTGATTATGCAGATGGTGGAACATTAAGAAATTATTTAAGGAATAATACTATTACTTTTGAATGTAGAAATTGCAAGTGCGATTTTGTGATTACGTGATGGCAAGGAAATCATACACGGAGATCTTTTAAGTTGTAAGTATATTCATAATATTTAATAATTCGTTTATATTTACGTAATTAACACACCTTTATTTTAGATCCCAAACAATTTTTTGAAAATAAATCTACAAGACGGTTCTGGAGTATACCGATAAATAGGGCATTGGGTATATCATTTTTTATAGTGCTGAGTGGATATTTCACTGTTATCACCTACTCGTTTGAGGGTTCAGAGATATTAATGACTAAGTCGTTGGATCTCTTTTCTATTTCTGAAATGGAAACATCGGATTGAAGACAAAGAACAAAAAGAATCCAAATGACGTGTTCAACAACTTTCGGCTTGCCATGTTTATTGAGCCCCAGACTTTTTTCCCGGAAAAAAACAATACATAGGACTTTATGCTTATCTCTAGAATCTCTAGAATAACATTATCAATAATGAAAAGGAAACTGATCATAGCTAACAGGCAACGACACCGATTAAGGAGCTTCAGTTATTCTCTGTTAAGCCAAGGAGTCTGGGTGGGTTGCAGATGTCCAAATCCGCCCCGCACCGATTGAACCTTACCCTTCGAGCGACTACATGAGATGATGTAATGGAGAGTCGCCCAAAGCGTAGGCTGCACATCAGTTCATACGATACACACAACGGCGAATGCGTACCGTCGAAGTAAATTATGCGAGAACTTAACCGGTCGTCACACACTGTTAACTATAAACTACAAGAAAGTTGATGACTTGAATAATCAGTGGTATGTTATTGCGTAAATAATCCAAAAAAAAATTTCCCATGGTATATAGAATACGTGCTAATCCCAGAATAACATTGTCAATAATGAAAAAAAAACACGATTATATTTAACAGGCAACGGCACCGAATAAGAAGCTTCAGTTATTCTCTGTTAAGCCTACAAACATACAGAGTGATGAGAAAGTTATAAAAGTATAAAAAAAAGTTTATATCTCAGAAATGACGTAAGTACCATGGGAAATTTTTTAAATTATTACAATTATTACGCAATAACATCCACTGATTAGTCATTTAGTCATTACGAGGAAATATCAGTTAAAAAAAATTTGTCATTGTTCGTCATGTTCGTCACCAATCAATCATAGACAAAAAAAACACATATATAGCCTTTTTTTTTTAACTTTTCCTAGTCTATATATTAACTTCTTTAATTAACTTCTTTATTTAACGCGTATTTCTGGATATAGTATCTATTAAACTTATTTACTGCGTAATATCATAATCCTTTATATTTAGTATTTAGTATCTATTAAACTTATTTACTACGTAATATATATTAACTTCTTTATTTAACGCGTATTTCTGGATTAGTATCTATTCAACTTATTTACTGCGTAATTTCAATTTCGAACCATGCGCAAAAAATCATCGCTAAACCAGTGGTTACGGTCTGGTGTCGTTAAGCAAAATACTAAGAACACACTTGATTCCACCTTGGATACCTTATATCAAATTTGTCAACTAAACGTCACTCGCGAGTCCATTTCACGTTCTCTCAAAGATATTCTTCAAACCGATCTAACCTTCCGACAGGAGCAGCAAGAACACTCTAAAATATATAATTGGTTTCAGGAACGACAGAAAAAGCCAACTCCAATTTCAATCTTTAAAAAGACGCGTATTTTTTCATCTGCCATCGGATCTCATTCAACTATCAACATTGCAAGCTCCCCTAACAACATTACGAGTTCCCCTAACAACGTTGCAGGCTCTTCTAATAACGTTGCAGGCTCTTCTAATAACGTTGCAGATTCCCCTAATAACATTGCAAGTACCCGTGATTCCTCACCTCCACCTATAAAACAGAGATATTCTTTCTCTGAAGCGGAGCAAGGTGCTGTGGTCGAAACTTTTTTAACGCTTGCGGAGAAGGCCATTTACAACTTTCTCGTCAAATATGAAGACAAGCTTCCCGATATACTTGTAGAAAATTTCGCTTCTAAACAGAACCCACCAGTCAGCAAAGATTTCCGGGATGCTGATGTTCTGTGTATGCTAAAATTTATAATAGAAAATATTAAAATATTTTTGAAAGAATCAGCATTTCATGGTTCTCATAAATCCAAACCTATCGAACTACTAAAAGATTTTAAAAAAGATGTACGTCATAAGAATGCACATGGGATCGTTGAGAATAATAAAGGGCGTTGGTGTGATCTTTCTCTGCAACGAGTTGTTCATTTGACATGTGAGGTAGTTNCATACGATACACACAACGTCGAATGCGTACCGTCGAAGTAAATTATGCGAGAACTTAACCGGTCGTCACACACTGTTAACTATAAACTACAAGAAAGTTGATGACTTGAATAATCAGTGGTATGTTATTGCGTAAATAATCCAAAAAAAAATTTCCCATGGTATATAGAATACGTGCTAATCCCAGAATAACATTGTCAATAATGAAAAAAAAACACGATTATATTTAACAGGCAACGGCACCGAATAAGAAGCTTCAGTTATTCTCTGTTAAGCCTACAAACATACAGAGTGATGAGAAAGTTATAAAAGTATAAAAAAAAGTTTATATCTCAGAAATGACGTAAGTACCATGGGAAATTTTTTAAATTATTACAATTATTACGCAATAACATCCACTGATTAGTCATTTAGTCATTACGAGGAAATATCAGTTAAAAAAAATTTGTCATTGTTCGTCATGTTCGTCACCAATCAATCATAGACAAAAAAAACACATATATAGCCTTTTTTTTTTAACTTTTCCTAGTCTATATATTAACTTCTTTAATTAACTTCTTTATTTAACGCGTATTTCTGGATATAGTATCTATTAAACTTATTTACTGCGTAATATCATAATCCTTTATATTTAGTATTTAGTATCTATTAAACTTATTTACTACGTAATATATATTAACTTCTTTATTTAACGCGTATTTCTGGATTAGTATCTATTCAACTTATTTACTGCGTAATTTCAATTTCGAACCATGCGCAAAAAATCATCGCTAAACCAGTGGTTACGGTCTGGTGTCGTTAAGCAAAATACTAAGAACACACTTGATTCCACCTTGGATACCTTATATCAAATTTGTCAACTAAACGTCACTCGCGAGTCCATTTCACGTTCTCTCAAAGATATTCTTCAAACCGATCTAACCTTCCGACAGGAGCAGCAAGAACACTCTAAAATATATAATTGGTTTCAGGAACGACAGAAAAAGCCAACTCCAATTTCAATCTTTAAAAAGACGCGTATTTTTTCATCTGCCATCGGATCTCATTCAACTATCAACATTGCAAGCTCCCCTAACAACATTACGAGTTCCCCTAACAACGTTGCAGGCTCTTCTAATAACGTTGCAGGCTCTTCTAATAACGTTGCAGATTCCCCTAATAACATTGCAAGTACCCGTGATTCCTCACCTCCACCTATAAAACAGAGATATTCTTTCTCTGAAGCGGAGCAAGGTGCTGTGGTCGAAACTTTTTTAACGCTTGCGGAGAAGGCCATTTACAACTTTCTCGTCAAATATGAAGACAAGCTTCCCGATATACTTGTAGAAAATTTCGCTTCTAAACAGAACCCACCAGTCAGCAAAGATTTCCGGGATGCTGATGTTCTGTGTATGCTAAAATTTATAATAGAAAATATTAAAATATTTTTGAAAGAATCAGCATTTCATGGTTCTCATAAATCCAAACCTATCGAACTACTAAAAGATTTTAAAAAAGATGTACGTCATAAGAATGCACATGGGATCGTTGAGAATAATAAAGGGCGTTGGTGTGATCTTTCTCTGCAACGAGTTGTTCATTTGACATGTGAGGTAGTTACATGTCTTGGCAGTGACTATAAGGAGGTATACGCTGCAAAGGAAAAGTTTGACGATGAAATCCTTAAACGATGGTCAAGTAGAGCAGCGAGTGATATTTCTAATCAAGCACCATCATCATCAGATTTTTTCACAAATTTAAGAAACGGTAGTGACACGACTTCTTTGAATAATGAAACTTCTAATCAATCCAGAGCATGTCCATTGAAGCGAAAACTGGATGACACAGACTTTGACCAGATGACGGATTTTGTGTTGGGTGTATTTAAGAAGATCAAAGAGAAGAAGACGGGTGAAAAACAAAAAATCTTACAGTTGTCATTGGAGAAAAACGAGACCTTGATAAAAATTTGGAGGATGGCAATTATAAAGAGAACATATACAGAACAAATAAATAAATTTGTTTTGTTCTCCAATTCGATGTTTAATATGGTAAGAATATGTTGATCATTCTTTTCACGCAAAAATCTTTAAAACTAATTATTACTTAATCACAGAATTTAAGCTTTAACACCGAAGACGCAGATCATGATAGTGATAGTGAAAAGGTTGTATGAATTTACCTTGATATTGTTCAATTAAAGACTAGACTGAAATTACAATTATTTGGAGTCTGGAGAATTTCATGTATTCTTTACTTATTTAAATATATATAATGTATATATATATTTATATTTCTTTATTTTTATATAATAATTCCTTTGCTTTGTAAATAAATCTTCCTGTTTATTAATAAAAATTTTAAAATCGTTAATAACCATCTGATAATCAATTTAATCTCGGAATGAAAATTCTAATATTAAACGCATTTCTAACTTTATGTATATTTATTATTCTACAGCTACAATAAAAACAATAAAAATAAGATTCGTAACCAATAGATTGTATACAGTATACATTATTTGTGAAATAAAGCGGATAAAAAAAAATTGCGTGATATATTGTGTTAACAAACAACTCCGCAGAAATGTGAGAATATCGAAACTATTAATTTTACATTCATTGAGCCAAATTAAATACTATTCCAAGACTTACTGCAAATATCATACTAAATATGAAGAAAAGAAATTTTTTAAAAAAAGGAGCAATTAATTTTCTTTGAACGCGCAGATGTACAATTTTAGCTACGAGTTAGTGGCCATCTTTAATCTAACCAAATTTTAATTGGTTACCCCTACGGACACATCAGGAGTCAATTGTAACAATTGTAAAATGATCACGTGTTAGCGCATTAAAGTAGGATCAACACGTATTTATGTGTGTGCACGTGACGTTCCTGATGGGTTTGTAGGGGTTATCAATTTTAATTAGGTTACCCATGGAAATAGTTGAAGATCGAACAGTCACATGATGTAGTGCACAGAAATCCCATGATTGTGGCTGAGTTTATTACAATATGGAACATTTCTTATAATATATTTTAGTTTTACTAGTTACTTAAGTTACTTACATTAATTAATCACTTTTAGTATTATTATTGTTTTTGACTCATAAGTATTCAATTATAAGTATCAGTTTGATTATTATAACATTAGAAAAATTGCTTTATTAGTTTAGCTAGAGAAGTTTCTTGGGATTTACAGTTGATAAATCATATAGACATGTGGAACTTATACAAAATGGTAATAGAAAGGTTTTTACAGATAATTGCGATGAGAAAAGGACAATTGATTGATTAATCATATTCGTATAATAGGATAAGTTCAAACTGTCATGCATGAAAATGTAAACATATACAGTCGACCCCTATATAGTCACCCCCTGTATAATCACATCATATAAAATTCCCCTTTATAAGCACACCATATTTTGGCCCAATGTACTAATAAATCAATTTCATAACTCCGGACAAGTATAATCACGTGCTAATCGGCCATTTTATTAGCTGCGGCAAGTTAGTACAAAGAATTATTACATCATAAATAAATCATATTACATAATCATAAACAATTAAACTATTTTTTTTACTATATATAGACTACAATTCCCACACAAGCCTCTTCAGGCCGTTTTTAACTTGTTGCGGTTCGCTCTTGTTAACATCTTCAAGAAATGACTAACGAAGAAAACGTTAATAATATTAATAATACAAATGAAGATGACCTCGATTTTGAGGAAAACGACTCAAATACCTGGACTGCTAGCGGTCCCATGGCAAACTTACCCACGGAAATTTATTGTGGAAACTCTCTCGAGCCTGCTGTTAAGAAGAAAATTTTCCAGGCCGAACCTCGAAATAAAGATATCTCCTTTACACCACTCAAGATGGAGCAACGCATGTTGTCCGTCATGTCCCGTTTCGACAAAGAAACTGACAAAAACTATAGTAGACTGCTCTATAAAACGTCCTCAGTTCTTAGACCGATCGATAATACACTTAGGATGGTTTATGCTTCAAAGCCGACCGAAGACACTGGAGATTCCTACGAGTCTTGGCTCCAACTTGAACAGACAGTACTCAACTCCAGGGCCCTCCTTTTGGACGCCTTATCATACGGAAATGACCTACGTAGAGAACTGGCACTTAAGAACCTCTCTTCCAATTATAGAAAACCTACCGGTCAACGAGGTGTTTTTGGGGAAAAACTACCAGAGTTGGTTCAACAAGAAAATGAACTTAACAAATTGTTTAATGAAGCTGCTTTTCAAAAGAAACGAGCTCAACAAAATTCAAAACAAAAACAATACTCTCCTGTCAGTTTTAAATCACCTACAACAGGATCTCAAAATTCATACAATTCTTACAAAGGAAAGAACCGTAATTATTCACGATCCCAATCACACTCACAATCTCAGGGAAATTTTCAGTCAAGCACGTCAACAAACAACCAAAAATAATTTCTTCTTCAACTCCCTCAAAGATCGCTGGAAGAATCTCCCACTTCAAGGACCATTGGATCGCGTCTTTTGGCAAAAATTGGGTTACAGATATTGTCCAATATGGTTATCGTCCAGAATGGTTAACAGTCCCTCCTTTAGATGTTCATCCTATTTCACCCAATCGCCAATACAAGAAAGATCTCAAGATTTTTTACGACGAGATTCAAGCATTACTGCGGATTGGAGCAATTCGAGAATTAGACATCGATACTCCATGTTTTTTGTCCAACCTGTTTTTAGTTCCCAAAAAGGGGGGGAAACTCCGACCTGTCATAGACTTACGAAAATTGAATCAGTTCATATACTACCAGCATTTCAAAATGGAAAACTTAGAATTGTTGAAATCTATGATTCGACGGAACGATTATATGGTGTCCATAGATTTAAATCAAGCTTTCTTCCATGTTCCCCTAGCAGTGGACCAACAACCTTATTTTTTATTCGATTTCCAGAACAGACGTTTTTGTTTCACATGTTTACCTTTCGGTTTAACAACAAGTCCGAGGTGTTCACCAAGATTCTTCGTCCAGTAATAAAATCTCTTCGGAATCAAGGCATCAGATTGATGATATATCTAGACGACATACTCATAATGGCAAGGACGAAAGACGAAGCGTTACAACAGTTAAAGGAAATCATGGATACCTTAAAAAGAATGGGATTTACAATCAACAAAGAAAAGTCAATGCTCGTACCTTCTCAATCGATAGAGTATCTAGGCTTCAAGATCAACACAAAGACGATGACCTTTGTACTTCCGCGGACAAAAGTAAAGGACCTAGTGAACGAATGCAAAAAGGCAGTGCACCTACCCAAAATACCGGTCCAGAAGCTGGCGTCTCTAATCGGAAAGATATTGGCAACAACGTCAGCGGTCTTTCCAGCTCGTCTTTACTCCAGAGCTCTGCTCCGAGACAAAAATTATGGTCTGAAACTGCGCGGGTGGAACGGTACAGTACAACTCTCCGACGAAAGCAAGTTGCAGCTCGAGTGGTGGATAAAAAATCTCCCTTCCTGGAATGGAAGAAGTTTAATCCAGGAAGAACCAAGTACTATAATTCACACAGATGCGTCAAATACCGGCTGGGGTGCGTCCCGGGACAACTTGACCATCCACGGAAATTGGACTCAGTTAGAGTCAACTCTTCACATCAATATTCTGGAACTAAAGGCGATTCAGTTCTCCATTCTCGTGTTCAAGGAGCTAGTGAATCAAACGATATTGATTCGAACAGACAACACGACGTGTGTAGCCTATATCAACCATCAGGGCGGGACGATATCTCCGGATCTCTCAAAGATCGCAGAGAATCTGTGGACATTATGTCTGAAACGCAATCTAAAATTGATAGCGGAACACATTCCGGGCATAAAGAATGTGGAAGCGGATCTGGCATCAAGGATATTGATTGAAAAGAACGAATGGAAGTTACATCGCAAAATCTTCAACGTATTCAACAAGATATGGGGTCCTTATCAATTGGATCTATTTGCAAGCAGAACCAACACCCAACTTCCCCGTTATTATGCATGGAAAACGGATCCGTTTGCCGAAGGGATGGATGCTTTTCGGCAAAAATGGTCCAAAATGAAACTATGGTCGAACCCTCCTTGGGTTTTAATTCCACAGATACTAGCAAAACTGATTCGGGAAAAGGCTTCTATGACTATTCTGGTTCCGATGTGGCCGTCAGCCCCATGGTTCCCGTTATTAATGAGCCTATTAATAGATCTACCGATATTGATTTGCTCCAACAACATTCTTTGCCCATCGTCACCTCCCCAAATACACCCACTTCGCAATCCACAGTGGAAACTGCTCGCTTGCAATATTTCCGGTCTAGGAACAAAGACAAAGGCTTTTCGGATAAAACTATTAACTTACTCTCATCGTCAGTGGATAATAGATCTTCAAGAACAGTGTCATCAGCTATTCGAGTATGGGAGCATTGGTGTAACTCACAACACGTCAATCCCGTTACTTGCCCTATAAATAAGATTTGTGAATTTTTTTCTGACATGTTGACATTTGGAAAATCATATAATACTATCGCTGGCTATAGATCAGCCATTAGTGAAATCCACGAACGAATTGATAATTTCTCAGTTGGAACTCACTAAACATGGGTATCGAAACTCCTAAGAGCATTTCCGAATGTTTCGGGTTTCAGTATATACAAATCGAAACTCAACCCGTAACCTAAACTTCTACCGAAACTCGAAACAACTTCCGATATTCCGAAACCTATCCCGATATCTCGAAACCAGCATTACCCAATTAAATTGCTTAAACAACTGTGCCATACGTCATATTGACGAAATCACGTGCTCAATAATCATCAAGAAATTCGTAATACCCGACGCTATATGAGGATTGAGGAATATAATGGAGTGAACAAATTCTACCCTAATAGTTATATAGTTAATTTGGATTTAATGTTAGAAATAATTTAATAGTGAACAAACTATTAGAAATTGAACTTGATACCTTTATTTAAGATTTACTGTAAGGAAAACTAATAAAAATTTTGGGCATATTTCGGTTTCAGGTCGGGATTCGGGAATCGGAAAAATATATGCATTTCCGAAACTCTATTTCGTATATACCGAAACCGACAGAGTTTCGGGAAGTTTCGGTTTCGTTACCCATGTTTAGAACTCACCCAGACATTTTAAAAGCTATGCAAGCTATTCGGATCGATAAACCTCCTACTTCAAAGTCAGATGACGCTATTGATATTATTCCTTCACTAGAATTCATTGTTTCCTTGGGTGACAATTCAACCATGTCTATTAGAGATCTTACTTGCAAAACAGCCTTTTTATTGGCTTTGATTTCAGCGTGTCGTCCGTCAGATCTTCATAGGATTAATGCTTTTGATTATACCAAGACAAGGTCTTCTATTTCGTTCAATTGTGTCGCACCCAAGGAATATAATATCGCGGTTGCACATTCAGCCTCCACAACAAAATCCCGGTTAAAAAAGATTTTTGTTGGTGTTTACCCAGATGAAAGACATCTTTGTCCATATGAAGCTGTTACTTCCTTGTTATCAAGAACTTCCCTATGGCGTGTATCTGTTGATCAAAAACGCGCTCTTTTTCTCATTACGAAAGAACCTCACTCACCGGCTTCCGTGGATACTATTGCCGGGTGGATAAAATCTATTTTAAAGATTTCCTCTCCGGGTTCAACAGCTAAAGACATGCGTGTGTTGGCAGCTTTTTTCGCTCAAAATGCTGGGGCTGGATTGGAGACCGTACTAGCACTTGGCAATTGGTCTAGTAATTCGGTTTATCACCGTTTCTATCAAAGGGGTATTAAATTGATGTTAGAACGTAATCAGGTTTCTTCGTTGATTTTATCGGAAGCACGTGTGAGTCACGATTCTTTAGACGAAGTCATTAATGATTCTCCGCAGTAGCACGTGATTATACTTGTCCAGAGTTATGAAATTGATTTAAGTAAATGTATGAGTTTTTAACGAAATGCATTTATAAATCAATGAATAACGTAGGACAAGTATAATCACGCTCCCTCCCCATTTTTCCCACCCTATATACTAGTATAGTAAAAACGGCCTGAAGAGGCTTGTGTGGGAATTGTAGTCTATATATAGTAAAAAAAATAGTTTAATTGTTTATGATTATGTAATATGATTTATTTATGATGTAATAATTCTTTGTACTAACTTGCCGCAGCTAATAAAATGGCCGATTAGCACGTGATTATACTTGTCCTACGTTATTCATTGATTTATAAATGCATTTCGTTAAAAACTCATACATTTACTTAAATATATTAGAAAAACCTCCTCTATAGTCACAACATATGACTTTTTTTATAATCACACCCTTTTTTTTCGGTCCCGAGGGGTGTGACTATAAAGGGGGTCGACTGTATAGGGCAATATTTTCTTTTGAATAAAAGTAACAAAGAGTTTAGATTGTGTTATCCGAAGTATTGGTTTTTTTTTGTATGATTTAATTGTTAGTTTTTGCAGTAAACTTTTCGCGTGTTTTACTTGTTTTACCTTGTGTTTTGTCATTATTTGTTTGATAGGTTTTTTATTCTCAAGAAACCCTTACATTATTTACCAGAATTATACTTTCATTATTAATTTTCTATTGGGAATTATCCTATATTTCGTCACAAATTATTGAAACACCTATAATTTTATTATTTGACCTTTTTGCCACAACTGATCAGTTTGACATCTCTGACGTTAGTTACCAAATCAGTGATAACAATAACAACCCGACTATGGTTTCGATAAGCGGTTTGGTTACAATAGGAGTTCAGATTTTGAATGACAATGTAACTTGATCCACGCACAAACTAATGTCGGTATCATTCTTACTTTCCATTTCTCGGTTAATATTTAATAATTCAAGGTCAGTTACGTTAGTATTACGTTACTATTAAGTATTAACTGGAATTCCCCCGTGATACAGCAGCTAAAATAGATCAGAAATTTTGTTTCAAGAATGACATAAATTCAAAATTATAAATCACTCATATAGTAATATATACATGCAAGATTAATAAATTTTATGCTTGCGCATCATGAAATAATATCACTTTTACAATCAACTGGCTATTTAATAATGCTTTCTACAGTACATAATTTGCAGAACTATATAAGGCGTGCAATTAATACGTTGAACCGTATTACACAATTAACTTTACAAATTCGAATAATCCATTCGCAAATAAATTTTATAATGGATCTATCTAGTTGTAAAGTATATGAAACGCACGGAAGAAAGAATATTACGCGAATAATCATACCGTACATGCATATATATACTATGCATTTATTCATTTATTATTTCTAGTTATAAATTTATAATTTATACAGTATAACTTTAAAAGAAAGTATTTACATTCTTTATTAAAAATCATCTACAAATTGATCATCACAATTAATTACCATATAGGATACAGTACAATATTCAGAAGAAATTAAATGCACGAAAAAACGAGAAAAAAACATTTTTTTTTTATTGAATTCGTAAGATGTATATAAAATAAGCCGAAAACAAATGTTGCTGCTACCGTCTTGACATGAGCGGTTAACAAATAGTGAACATATATTAACTTTTTATGTCTTTAACCTTGTATATTACAACCGTCTATCGAACTATGGTTTCGACGGACGATTTGATTTTATGAAAGACAGAGCGGATCTTGAGTTGGGTTGGAATTGGCAGATAGTTAACTAATAAGTGGATAAAAATAGACATAAATATATTAAAGGTGGAATGATTTTTTTTATTAATATCGACTTATCATTAGCTGCCTATATACATTAGATGTTGCAAAGGACATTTAATTAGAATAGAAGAAGAAATTTTACAGATGTTTCAGGTCTTTTTACTAGGAAAAAAATATAGAAAAAATTTTTTTGGTGTCGAACATAAATGTAAACCAATTGAATTTATACTATTTAGTTAAATAGCATAACTTACGTGAATATTTTGTATTTAATCATTGATAATATTGTATATAATCACCATCTGATGTTCATAACCTATACAGTTAATTTACTTTTTACTTTAATTAAAGTGCCAATAACCTTTTAAATAATATACAAATCATTCTATAAAAATATTATTAAAACATAAGAATCTTGCTACCAACTTATAATGAATACGATGACAATTAGATGTGATTTGGGATAATGGGCTTAAAAAAATTTTTTTATTAATCAATTTTAAAATCCAGTTAAATTGTCAGCGAGGGAATCGAAATTAATTTCATAACAAAGTGAAATAAAATATTAATCTCTTTGTAGATCATTCACAACCAGCCAAATATTAATAAACTCAACGGGCTAAATGTGTGAAAGGAGTACTGCAAATACATCTATACTAAAAATATTTAATTAATGAATGCAGAAAGTCAACAATAAAATAATGCGGATAAGTAATTAAAGTAATTAAAAAATTAAATAGCTAATAAAGCAATGTCGCCAAAATATTAAATATTATATGGCTAGCACCATAGGTTTGACAGGTAATAATCAATAATTAAATAAAAAACTACATAAAGTATAAAAACTCATCAAAAAAAGAATAAACCTTATCTAATTAATCAATTCGTTAAACCAACAGACGTGATATACGTCTAAAAGATTTTCTAAAGCAAAATAAATCATTTTAACATAAATCTTGGAAAAAAATTAAATAATAGTCTTGTTCTTAGTTTCCTAAAGGACACACAGAGTATAAATACCTAGGCTTCTAGTTTTAATTGCTATAAAAGCCTTTCATAATTGAGTTTTCGGTCATTCGACTAAAATTATTAAAAAAAAGAGGATTATTCTTGCACGTGAAGTATGAAGTACTTTTACAAGTGCTGGCTTTGCCTCAATAACTTTATGAAAAGACGTCAAGCATACACATTGAGTACATGAGTCAACCGGACACAACTGAAGATTCGCTTTGGTTTATAATGCATATCGTATCAAAACTTGCAATTAAAAATTGACAAAAATCCTGATATCTAAGAAACTACTATTAACGAGGTGTATTAACCAATACAGTTATATAACTTTTTATTATCATTTATTAAATTCATTGTTTTTTTCCAGATTCTTCTCACAAGATAGTTAATTCTCATCCAAACATAATTCAATTTTATGAAGTTACGAAATTGAAAAAATTGAAAGAAATTATTTATTGAATTTTTAATACTCATATTTACACGTTTTTTTTTACTCTTTAGACGAAATAAATTAATCGCTTGTTCTTGATTATACAGTTGGTGGAACATTAAGAAATCATTTAAGGAATAATACTATAACTTTTGAATGAAAGAGCTGATTAGAAATTGCAAGTGCGATTTTGTAGTTACATGATAACAAGGCGGAGATCCTGTAAGTATATTCATAATATTTAATACAGTAATCCATTTATATTTACGTAATTAACACCTTTATTTTAGCATCTCAATAATATCTTAATACATATAAAGATACAATAAAATTAGCAGATTTTGGACGTTCATGTCAAAAAAAAAGGATCAGTTAGTCATCCAAAGCGTGTGGTGGAATAAATTTTTTTGAAGAAAATCATCAGATATAAATAGTTTAGGAGTATTATTCTGGGAATTAACA